TATTATTTGGATTTCATGTAATCTGTAGATTGCTTTGGGTAGGATAGACATTATAAGGATATTAAATTTCAAATCCTAAAGCACAGATGTCTTTCCGTTTGTTTGTGTTTTCTTCCATTTTTCATCACTGTCTTGTGTTTGATGTACAGACCTTTCACCATTTTGGTGGAATTTATTCCCGAGTAGTTTATTGTTAATTCTATTGCAAACTTGAATACTTTCTTCATTTCTCTATCGAAGAATTTATTGTTAATGTGTAGAAATGAAACTGATGTTTGTGTGTTGACTTTTACATCCTGTAACCTTTCCAAATTTATTTTTTCTTTAAACTTTTTATTAATTTTAGAGAAAGGAAGTAAGACAGAGATAGACAGAAATAGAGAGGGAAGCATTGATCTGATGTTCCACTGATCTATGCATTCATTGACTGCCCTCTGCATGTGTCCCGAAGGGAGATCAAACCTACAACTTCAGGTATTGGGACCAATCTTTCACTGACCGAGCCACCTGGCTAGGGCTCTGAATTAGTTTATTAATTTCAGAAGTTCATAGTGGGCTCTTAGCATTTTTTCTATATTCATAGTGTCAAGTGTAATATCTTTTTTTCTTTTCCTTTTTTTTAAAAAATATATTTTATTGATTTTTTACAGAGAGGAAGGGAGAGAGATAGAGAGTTAGAAACATCAATGAGAGAGAGAAGCATCGATCAGCTGCCTCCTGCACACCCCCTACTGGGGATGTGCCTGCAACCAAGGTACATGCCCTTGACCGGTATTGAACCCGGGACTCTTCAGTCCCCAGGCCAACACTCTATCCACTGAGCCAAACCGGCTAGGGCTCTTTTCTTTTTTAATAAACGCTTCCAGCTAATTTGAACTATGCTCTTTTTTGGTTTTTAAGTTTTTGAAATTGACTTTTACAAAAATAGTGAGAGGGATAGTGAGAAACATGGAAGTGAGAGTAAAACATTGCCTGCCTGCCTCCTGTATGCCCCCGACCAGGGATGGAACCTGCAAACCCAGCATTTGCCCTGACCAAGAACGTAATAGGCAACCTTTTGGTGCATGGGATAACATCCAACCAACTCAGCCACACTGGCCAGGGCTGAGTTGTAATCTTTTTCTTTCTTTTAAAATTTATTTTAGTCTTTTTTTTTTTAATGTTGAAACCTTTTTTTCTGTTTCTTTTTTAAAATCTTAGTTGTTGAGAATATTACAGATGTTTCCCCTTCTCTCCCCCCATTGCTTCCCTCCATCTGGTTCCTGCCCCACCCGTCATCTTCACCATCCTCTTGTTTGTTTCCGTAGGTGATGCATACAATATCTTTGGTTAATCTCTTCCCTCCCCCTACCCCTTCCCTCTGAGATTCATCAGTCTGTTCTATGTTTCCATGCCCTTGATTATATTTTATTCACCATTTTATTTTGTTCATTAGATTTCTTGTTTATTTTGATTTTTAGATTCAATTGTTGATAGATATGTGTTTATTGCCATTTTATCGTTCCGATTTTTTCTTCATCCTTTATTCTTCCTCTTCCTCTTCTGAAAGAATAACCTTCAACATTTCATGTGGAAGTGGTTTGGTGGTGATGGACTCCTTTAGGTTCTTCTTATTTGTGAAGCTCTTTATCTGACCCTCAATTCTAAATGTGAGCTTTGCTGAGTAGAGTAATCTTGGATGTAGGTTCTTGCTAAAGTTTTCTGTCATTATTTCTTCAAATAGATTTTCAATTATCTTGCTCTCTCTCTTTTTCTGGCACCCCCATGATGGTATGCTTGAAGTTGTTCCAGAGGCTCCTTGCACTATCTTCATATTTTTTTATTAATTAATTTTTTTTTTTTTTCTCTTCTGGTTGGGTGTTTTTTGCTTCCTCATATTTCAAATCGTTGACTTGATTCTCAGAATCCTCTACTGTTGAATCAATTATTCTTCATTTCTAAAGGGTGTCCCAAAATTCACCCAAGAAGTAATTTTGATAGAAAACACAAGTTTATAATTAAAAATTGTAAATTTTTTATTGATTCATAAAGTATACAGTATAGGGTTATGTATTGGATAGCATATCGGGTAAATGGCCTCCACGGCTTTCCTGGCACATACACACACTTTTGTTGAAATTTTACATGACCGT